CGCGTGCCCGCCCTGCGCTGCGCTGCGCTGCCCGCGTGAGCCCCCCGCGGGCTCCGGGCCTCCTCTGGGCCGGGGCGACTCGCTGCTCGGGTGGTGTCTGCGACAGCTCGACTTACAGGCAGATATGGCAAAAAGTAAAGAACCCAAGGGAACAGCACACTGCATGAACTGATTATGAGGAAAGGGGCCATGGTATTCCAGTTAGTCAGAAATACTACGGCAATTTGGCGCAATGCTGCTAGATACTGTTGGTTTAAAATGGACCTTTTCGCTTCAAAGCTGTACAGAAAACCTGCAAGAGAGAGAGAGGAGGCAGAGACGTGTCAGGGGGCAGCGCGGGCGGGCGATTCTGGTTCCCCAGCCCTTCCCCAGCCCTCCGTGCCAGCAGAGCCAGCAGCTCCGCCGCCCCAGAATAGAAGGGCAGCAAAATAGAGGAAGCGGCGCTGGCCCCGGGTGACCACAGGCGACAGCCACGCGGGCAGCAGCTGCCAGGCGCTTCCCGTGGCTGGTGCCCAGATTAGAGGCAGCTGACGGGGCAGGAGGGGCCCGGCCGGGCACTCACCACTCACCCCTCCTCGCTACACGCCGGCCTGCTCCATCCCGAAGGGCACCTCCGGGTGCTTGTAGCTCAGCAGCACGTCCGTGAGACACGTCGCCGGGTAGCATGAGGTGCCCAGGTGCTGGCTGCCGTCGCCCAGGTGCTCCTGGCCTTCCAAAGCGTCCCCGCACTCTGCAAGAGCCAAGGGAGCGTCGGCGCCCGCGCACAGGCCTGGCGAGGAAGAGCTCTCGCAGAAGCGGCTCCGGCCACGGCTGAGCGGTGCCCCGGGCACCGTGAGTGGCCGAGGGCGCCCGYGCCTCCGCCGAGCGTCCTGCCATGTGCCCGTGCCCCGCGCCCGGGCTCCCTACCGTCGCCGTCCCGGTCGCGCAGCTGCTGGCTGGCCATGAGCGACGCCTGGCTGAGCACGGCGTCTGACATGCGAGCGGAGCTGAGCGCCTTCCCCGCCATGAGGCTCATCCCGGGCAAGGTGTCCAGCTGCACCTGCGGGCACAAGGGCCGCGGCTGGAAGGGGCCTGCGCAGGAGCAGCCTGCTGCGCCCGCCGGGCTCCGCACGTCTTCGCTGGGGACTCCCAGGTGCGACCGCGAAGGGTCCCCGGGGGCGGCTGAAGCTCCGCCACGAGCGCCTCGCAGGCGAGGGCGGCCGGGATGACCCCACACCCGGGCAGACCCACGCGCCAGTACCGAGACAGAGCCCCTGTCCCGCGAGGCGCGTSGGAGCCGCAGCACGGAGCGCAGGGGGAGCGGGAGCCAGGAGCAAGCCGGGCATCCTCGGCACCGTGCCCCACGGCCCGCACGGGGCACCCCGCTCCCACCCCAGGCCTCTGGCAAGCGCTGCACTGTGCCCCGCCGGGCAGAGCCTCCCCAAACGTACGTAGGCATCATCACTGTTCTGGATGGTGTGATGTCTCTGCAGGGTCCTGGGCCGCGGGTGCTCGCCGGCCGCGGGGCGCGCCGCGTAGCCCAAGCCGTTGTGGTCGGGCACCTGCATCGCTTGTCYGGGAGAGCTCCTGTCCAAGCAGCTCCCTACGACGGACTCTTCCAAGGCGGACGAGAGAGACAAGGGACAGTTAACGTGCAGGCGCCGTGGCCCGTCTCACGCGCCAGCCGCGAGGTCGCCTGGCCACCCCCGCTGCCCTTGGGCTGTTGCCCCCCACACACGGGGCACCCCTTGCCCGCCGCCCGCTCCCCTAGAGCTGCAGCTCGCGCCGGGGCCCCGAGGGGAGGCAGCGGGGTCCCCAGCCCCAGGCAGGGCCGGCCGGCAGGGCCGCTGGGCGCGTGCAGCAAGGCAGCCTTCCTTGCTGCGGGGGCCGCCGGGCCTTGCCCTTATCAGCTGGCTGCTGCGTGCCCGGCCGCAGCGYGGCCACGGAGTCCGCGGGCGGCTGCCTGGCAAAGTCCAGCGGCAGCGCCAGCTCCCGCGTCCCGGGGTAAAGGCTGCGTTCCTATCGAGTGAGCCGCGGCGTCACCGAGGACACGCTGCTCTGCCTGACGCAGCACAGCGTCCCGCCCGTGCCCAGTGGGCCCCGGCGCCTGCCCCGCGGCACGAGGCCGCGCGCGGCCGCCAGCACCGCCCGGGGACGCGGGGCGCTGCCGGCGCCTGCCCCGCACCCCAAACCGGGCAGCGGGGGCACGATCCCCCCACGCCAGCCCGCGACCTGCCCGGGCGCACGGCTGCGAGGACGCGGCTCCCCGAGCACCTCAACCTCCGCGGCCGGCCCTGCCATCRGAGCATGACTTGCAAGGCCAGCAAAAGTCCTCGACACGTCAGCTCACGCGCCCGTCCCCGTGGGGACGTTCCCCCTCCGCACAGATAGTGCTGCATTGCGAGAAGGGCTTTGGGAGGAAACCCGCAGCACAGCTGGCCTTTCCCTTGCTTTGCACAACCGCAAGGTTACGTTCGGTTACCGTCTCAGCTTTCCTGGAAAAGGCAAGCCAGCGAACGCGAGGCTCGCTGGAAAACAGAGCGGCGCGGGAGGGCAGGGGGAAGTGCCGCCCCCGTGGCGCTGCGGCCGCCCCAGCGCAGCCCCTCGGGGCCCCGCGCGGCAGGGCCCGGCCGTCGCTGTCCCGGGCACCCGGCTGCTGCGGGCCGCTCTCCGGGCACGCGGCAAGGGCCGCTGTGGGGCCCGCAGGGAGGCCGGCAGCCCCGCACCACGTGGCCSTGCCCCGAAGTCTCCTCGGGCGCCTCGCGGCGCTGCACACAGCGCCCCTGGCCCCGGAGCACGCGGGTCACGCAGCCCACGCGCGCTACGGCCACTGCCGCAGGGTTYGCAGGGGACCGCATGGTGGAGAAGGGCAGCGAGGCTGCTTGCGCGTTCCGGCCGCGGGGAAGCCAAAAGCGCAGCGCGCGTTCCAGGCGCCTTATTAAAAGCAGGAGGAGAGTCTGGGCAGTCGCCGCTCCGGACATAGCTGAGCMCGTGGGCCCTCCAGAGAGCCCCTGCGAGGAGGGCTTGCACAACTCCACTTGTAAACATTGACTTGCTCGCGCTCATTTCCAAAGTCTTGCAGGCTAAAGTCCTCCACCGCTGCACAACTCACCCTAGCACCACCGGCGCCCCRGCAGGGACCTGCCTGGTGACTTCCCTCCACCTTGCCCTTTCTCAGGGAGCTCATCTTGCCCTGCTTCCCGCCTTATGCCACGAGCTTGCGCCGCAGTGGAAAAGGCAGCTCCACGGCTGCTGCACCCGGCGCAGGTTTTGCCTCCTGTGCGGCAAGCACAGTAGGGAAGTTGAGGCCAGAGCCCGAAAAGACCTGCAGAAGGCTGCAGCGGGGAGCACGTCMCGAAAGGCTCGGCCTCGGCAGCCGGGAGAGACTTGTGGCGCTGGGCGGCCGCGGTGCCCTCGCGCGGCTCCCTGCCAGCCGCGTCCTCGCGCCGGCCGCCCGGGCGCTCCGCAGCCAAGGCCGGCCGGGCGGACAGCATGTGCCCGCGGACCGGGGCTGCAGCCGGCGGCCGGCAGCGGCGCAGCTCTCTGCAGGGCACAGGGGCTGTGGCCGAGCAGCGGCTCCGGCGCCCGCCCCGACGCGTGGCGGCACGGACCTTACCTCTGCTGGGCGCCCTGGCGCGGGCGAAGGCGGCCGCGGGCTGCTGCCGGTACTGCTGCGGCGCCAGCTCCTGCGCRCGCCCGGCGCCCCCCAGCACACAGTCTGCGTCCCCGGGCCCTGCTGCGCCCACGAGCACGGCGCCTTCGTGGCAACCTTTGGTCAAAGTGTTGGGATTCTTACTGTCTGCAAAGCTGTCCCTGGCGCCYTCGCACGCACAGTCCTCCTCCTCCATGCTCTCCGAGTGGAACAGGGCGGGCTGGTGTCCGTAGCCGTGCGGCGGCGCTGGCGCGGCTACCTGCTGCATACATTCGTGCGCCCTGATTTTGAGGAGGTGCTGGGGGCTGCCTTGGGGATGGTACGTGTCAGCGCCCGGGTAAGGCAAAGGCAACGACTGGCGCTCCGAGAGGCTCTGTCCCAAGCTGGCGCCCATGTTCCCAGCATCCCCTTGACTCATGTGCCTGAACAGCTCTTGGAATTCCGGCTGCTGCTGCTGCTGCTGCTGCTGCTGGCGCCGCTTGATGAGCTGTGCAAATTCTGCCTGGGGCAGCCGCATGTCCGTGTGCCCGGTGAGCGAGTGCCGGGGCGAAAGCAGTCCCTGGAGGATGTGCGGTACCTGCTGGTGTCGGCTGTAGTCGGGAGGCGTCGGGGACAGCAGGGCTTGCTGCAGGGCCGACGCGGTGTAGTGCTGCTGCGGCGGCGGCGGCGGYGGCTGCGGCGGCTGCGCGGTCGGAGGGAACGCGGGGAACTGCTCCAGCTGCGGCACCTTGAGGCCCTGCTGCGCCGCGGGAAAGGCGGCGGCGGCCGCCGGGCTGTAGCCGCTCGGGGAAGCGCGGGGCTGCTCCGGGAACAGGTGGGGATGTAAGTGCACCTGGTCGTAGTTAGTGGGGGGATACCTGTTCACACCGAGGCTGCGGAGAACACAGAGAGGCGTGAGCGCGCGCGGCGCGGCAGGCCGAGGCGGGCGCCCTGCCCCGCGCCGCCCCGAGGAGCCGGCGGGCGTCTCACAGGCTGCCAGGGACTCGTGGGGAGCGTGAGCTGCTGCAGCCYGGCCGCAGCTGCCCGGGGACGCAGGGACGTTGCCCCTGATGGGGACAACGGGGTCGAAAGAAGCTGCTGTTTGGCGCAGAGGCACCCCTCTGCTTCGGCCATGCTTGCCTGTTACCCCGGGGGAGCCTGGCACGAGGCAGGGCTGGCACGAGCCTCCTGGCGAAGCCTGAGCCGCGGCCCACGTGYCCACGGAGGCTGCCGAGCCCCTGCTCGGGGCCCAGAGCGCTGCCGGGGCAGGGGCTGATGGCACCTGGCAGCAGGTGCCCAGCAGGACGGCAGCTGGGGCTGCAGCGCGCCCGGCTCCCCTCCCCTGTGCCCGCTGGTGCCAGGGCTGCCGCCCTTACCTGTGCGACTCGGCGCTGTCAGCGCTGAGCTGCTTGGACAGCTGCCTGTGGCTGTACGTGAGGGAGGCCATGAGGCTGGCGCGCTGCTGCATCTGCATCTGGCTGGCGCCGGGGCTCACCGCCATGCCCCGCGAGTGGGGGGCCATGCCCTGCCCCGCCACGGGCGCCCCGGGCAGCAGGCTGCTGCTGACCATGTCGCCGGGCTCCTGCACCTGGATGGTGACCTGCTGAGGCTGCGGTTGCTGCTGCAGGCCCAGGCACGGCAGCCCCATGGCGGGCGGAGGGGAACAGTTACCAGACTGCGGGAAGAGCGCGCTGTGGGACGGCATCCCTTGGAACGGGGCCTGCGAGGCTGCACCTACGGGGAACACCGGCCTCAGCGCCCGCGGCGACGCTGCGAGCGAGCGAGCCCTGCCCGCCCCGAGCGGCTGCGGGCACCGCGAGTGCCAGGGCCTCGACACGGGCGGCGAGCGCAGCGGCTCYGCCGCCTCCTCGTGCTGCGCCAGCGCGCAAAGGTCACCGCGGCCAGAGCCCCGCGCCGGCAAGGGGAAACAAAGCGGAGCTTACAGCAATTTGCATAAATCCCTTCCTCCCCGGCCCCGGCACTGATAAGCGGGGATCTTATGACACAAGACGTAACAAACACATTCCAGGCGGCGGATCCCTGCGAGCTCTCGATAACGGCAGCCCGGCCTCGCTGTCGAGCCGAGAGCCGCCACACAGGGAGCACAGCGCGCGGGAAGCCGCTGCGGCCCGGGGGGCTCAGCGAGGAGCTGCAGCGGGGCTGCTCACCGTGCGGCTGCAGCACGCCGCTGCTGCCGGGCGGCGGGCTGCTGCTCGGCTGCCTGAAGAGGTGGTTACTCGGGTGGCTCGGCGGCGGGCTGGACGGCTGGATCCGCAACCTGCGCGAGGAAGCAGCACCTCTCAGCACCGCGCAGCTCCCCGCGAGGGCGGCAGCCCCCACCGAACGCTGCCCTGCTGCCCTCCTCTAGAGCCAGCCCTTGCTTGGCATCCCAGGCTTCTTCCACCGTGGTCTCTATTCCGAGGGCCACCTACACTTCCTCAGCCGCGCAGGGAGCACGGATGTCCCAGCGGCCAGAGGCAGACCCTGGCACAAGGACCCACAAGCTCTCCCCCTTCCCGAACCACTGGGGCCTGCAGCACAACCCTCCTCGCCCTGTTCCACCAGTGTAGGCAGCCTCCCCCGCGAGGCCAGGCACATGAAAACAAGACTGCTGCCCCGCGGGAAAAGCCTGCGGAGCTTCGAGAGGGCCAGAGAGCTCCCAGCCCAAGACAGCAGGGAAGCTAACTTGCTCAAGCTAACGTTTTCAAGCTGGTCAAAAGGCAAAAACACCCACTTATCTTATCTCAGTTACTCTTTTTGCCTTCAAAGCACATTTCTGCTTCTTTCAAAAATCCTTTGGAGCGAGGCCAGCTGAAGGGCCGGCCCAGGCAAAGGCACGTGCCCCTGGGAACTGGCCCGGCCACTCTCCCAGGCCTTCGGCTCTYTGCTGGGCCGCAGTAAGAGAAAAGSCCCTTCCCCAGAGCGGTGCCAGAACCACCTCTTTACCTCTGAAGCTGGTGAGTGAGCAGAGCGGGCTGGTTTTCACACGGGGCTTGCAAAGGTGGAGATGGCTGAGGCGGCCGGATACAGTCCTGAGCCGGGTACCAGAAAAGAGAAGTATCTGTGACCCCTACTGCTCACCTGGTGCGTTCAGAGAAAGCAAGCTACACGGAGGCAGCAGGATACATGCGGATTCCCCAGCCAGGCAGTCCCTGCCTGCAGCTCTCGCTGTCACTGCAGCTGTGCAGACACGGCCTGCCCCCAGCTGCCATACCTGCATCTGCTGATGCAGAATCTGATGGTGCTGCTCTTGCTGGTACAACATGTGCTGCTGCTGCGTCTTCTCCAGCGTCCTCTCGTCCATGTGCCCACCGTACATCTTCTGCAGCTGCTCGCACTCCTGCAAGGAAGCGATGCAGCACGGCCCCAGGGTGAGCCTTCCGTGCCCAGCAGGCTCGCCGCGCCTGCCTCACACAGGCACAGAGGAAACCCTAATCCACTTAATTTGGGGTAGTCAGGTGTGTAATAGCCCAGCTAGGCTCCGTCCTTATCCTTACACAACGGAGCAGAGCCGTCCGTGCGGCACGCCACACCGGGGCCATTCCATTCCCTCACAAGGCAGGCTCTAACCGCAACAACCTCCAGGGGAGACGAGCATCTCGTGCTTCCCCGGGGCTGCCGGGTGAAAGTCCCCTCCCGGGCCATGTGCAGCTCAGGCCCTTGACAAGACAAGGCCCGGCTGCCTAGGGAATAGCACACAGTCTCCTCCAAAACACAGCAGCAAAGGACGTGGGACGTGCTGCTGCTGCCGGCAGGGACGTGGGGCACGGCAGCCGCCCTTGGGCAGCGGCGTGGGCCGCATGGGCACCGCTGAGCCCCGTGAGGGKCCGAGATATCACCCTTTGCTTCTCAACGCAGTAAGCGGGAGACCACGAAAGCCCTCGCAAAGGCTCCTGCAGYGTCTCTCTTACCTGTTGAAGCTGTTTGATGCTACTGTTATTGCCCATCTTCTCCAGGTGGGCTTTGAAAGCCTGGATGCTGGCAGCACCATCAGAAAAGCGGCGAACCGGGGAGAAGCGCTCGGTGGGGAGGTGCAGGGTATTTGAGTCCTTGTAAACAGAGCTGAACACACGCGGAGCTGYGTTAGCGAGGCCAGCCGAGAAACCGGCCGCGGCGCTGCCCACACCTTCAGTTCCTGGCGGCCCTGCCGAGGTCTACCTGCCCACTCCCCAGAGGAAACCTAGCACGAAAGCGCCATCGCCACCGGGAACCGGGCACAGAGTCTCCACGGAGCCCTCGTGCCTGCACACACCGAGGTGACCACAGGCTGGAGATGACTCCACAACAAATGACATGAGCGACAAGCAATGACTTGTCTATCCCWAGGCAGCCATCCCTCGGATGGAAAAGGCCTGGAGAAACCGCTCAGCACTGGCCAAATATAGAGTGACCGAGTGCCTTCCTCAGCCCGTCGGCTCACGAGCGCCCCGAGTGCCCCTCGCAACCCACAGGCTGAAACCGCCTCTCCCCACGCCAACGCTCTCTGCGGCTAGAGAAAACCTGCCGGCTTGGGCCCTACGTTGCTGCTGCTGCYGGATCCCTACCAGTCCCTCAGCAGTCCCAGACTCTCTTCCAAAGCTGGCGGTTGGGAAGCAGGAGCTCGGAGGTTGCTCCCTCAGTGTAACAGCCAAAACGTGCGCTGCCTTTTTTCCCGGGGCCGCCCTCCGAGAGCAGGGCTGCCCATTAGGGCACCCACGCAGCAGGCTCCCTCCCGCCTCCGAGCTGCACTCCTCTGCATTAGCAAGGGCAACTCGCCCTGCACGCGTAAGGAAGCGTGCCCTGCACCGACGGCATGGAGTCTCTGCCTGCACCGTCACGGTTTCTGGGCAAACTCGGTCTGTACAACCCCTCGAGCGGCAGGGGAGGCAAGAGTGGCCTCCCGTGAGCGGCKCTCGGAGCGCAGGTTTCCGCGGTGCCCCCTGCCACCCTGGCGCCAGTCCCTGGCAGCAGCTGAATGGGTGCCGCAGCTGCCCTGAGCACGGCGGCCTGTGCCAAGCAGCAAAGCGAGTTCCCCCTTATCAGAAGGTGAGCGATGCTGGAGCATTGCCAGGGTGTTGCCTTCGGTTTCTGTCCCCGCGCCCGGCTTTCCAGAGGGCACTTCAGCTTCTGCAGATCACACGCAACTTTCTTCTGGGGACAGAGGCACTGCCCTTCGACACCGCCCCGTGCATCATGCTGACCCCTCTGATCTGCGCTCTCGCTGCTGGCGGCAGGAGCCAGGGAGACAATCKAGGCTGCAGCTCCCAGCGGCTGGCCGGGCAGAGCAGCGCTGCCTGCTGCACTTCAGTCCACTTTGTGCTGCCTTCTCATACCCAAGCTGGCTCAGCGGGCAGGAAGGTGGYGTCCAACAGGCTCGCTGCTGGCACGGAAGGCACGAGCCGTCCGAGAGGCGAGCTGGGCTTGGGCGCCGACGCAGCCTGCCGCGGGCTCTGCAGCCCGTGCCCGGCACCTCGCGGGCCCCCGGCCAGACACGGCCCCGCCAGCTGCCACGGCACTGCAGGCCCAGGGGCAGAGGGSCCCAGGGGCACTTACGGGCTGGCTTTAACACTCTGGGGAAAAACATAAATCGATTCTTGCGACACACGAGTAACCCAGCTTACCTGTACTATTGGAAGCAATCCTTACAGTAGGACGCAGCATGCCCGTTTTTTTTGTCAAGCTGCACTTTTAGGGCTATCAAGCTTTTCCTGTGACTTTAGAAATCTCTTTCCCCTCCTGCTCTTCCCATCCCCCAAGCATGTGCATGCGGGAGTAACTGCAGGGTATGCAGGCGCTTATCTTGGCTCTYGCAGAGTTCCAGCGTGGCACTAACACTGTCTCGGTCTGCTCAGAGTTCACCTGTCTCTGCTGATTACATCAGTGCTCAGCTCAGCAGGTATCTGGCTACAATAAAAAGCGCTTTGTCAAGCTGGCCCGCGCGAGCTGGCCGGGGGATTTCACAGGAACGCGGACCCAGGCTCGCCGGCCGCGAGCAGCGAGCAGCAACCTCTGTGGTGTGCGGCTGCTCGGCACCCTCAGCAAAGGGCGAGCTCTCGAGTGCAGGCTTGCGGCTCTCTCTGTGGCATTAGTGTCTCCAGTTTGCTGCTCTGCCAGCGGCTCTGTCAAACAACAGCGCTCTCGAGGCCGGCCCCCCGCGCCCAGCTGSGGAGCGCATTTCGGTCCAATCTGCAGCAGCTCCCCCAGGCCCAGACTCGGTGACAGTCTCCCGGCCCCACATCATTCCCTTCAGGGGTGCAGATGAGGAATGAAATGACTCTTGAGGAGCTCTGCAGGGAGACTTTGCAGTGAAAACACACAACTCTGGTGCAGAACAGTGAGGATTTTAAGCTCTGGCATAGATGACTCTTTGCGAAGTCTTTCCCCTGCATCTAAATTCAAGATGTACTATAGAAACGTAGCTATTTACTACAGGATTAACACCTATAAAGCGGGTAAAGAGCTCTCCTCTAGGCTGAGWAGCTTGTTGCCCAGCCTTGAGGGCTGGCAGCCATTCTGGTAAGTCACCTGCAGCCCCCGAAGCGGGACTGGAGGGGAAGAGGCAGCCGATTCTSGCCCCTGCACCAGTTCCTGGGCGTGAGCCCAGCAACGCGGCGGCCCCAGCACGCTCACAGGAGCCTCTGCTCTGCAGCTCTGCTCCTTACACTCCTTCCTCCTCCTCCTCCTCACCCCTCCCTGCCAAGCGGGACGTCCTCAGCGCTCCGCTGCAGGCGGCATCTGAGCAGGAGTCCTGGCGCAAAGCTGCCCGAGCGGCCGGTGCCACTACTCACCGGTGCTGATCGGGTGCCAGGTGCGGAGCCCAGGCCCGGGGTCGGAAGGACTGCTGTCCTAGCTGCCTCTGCAAGTCTGGAGGGATTTCAGCTGTAGGGTTGGTCATTGCCAGAGTGTGTCTTTTTGACCTATTTGCCAAGTATCTGCAACAAGCAGGAGCACATTTTATAAGAGACTGGCTGGAGCACTCCGAAACAGGGAGCGATAGGAAGGAGGGAGGAGGCCAGCTGCGGCGCCGGCAGCCGGGGGCACCTGGGGATGCGCCTGGGCCTCCGAGGCCACGGCASCCGTGGCGCTTAGGGCACACCGGGCACTTCAGCTGCCTGCCTGCTCACGGCAGCCTCGGGAAGAAAGGCAGGAACGCCGCGTTTCCCCCGGGAAGCACGCCGGGGCCTCCCCYGGCGCCGTGAGCCAGGGCAGCCCTAGTGAGAGCGGCCACGCGAGGGGCTRCGGCAGAGCCGCGGGACCCGTGCACCCAGGTGCAGCGGCCAGGGCGCGCCGGGGTGACGGGTGCCACCCTCGGCGCCGGGAGCGGCGCAGAGCAGGCCGAGGGCGCCATCTAGTCCCAGCCCGGCTCCAGCTCCGCTCCCGCCGGTGCTCAGGCACCAGCTGGGGCACGCGGAGGAGGCTGCAGAGCCCTGGACGCACAGGGCACCCAGCCAGCCTCCCAACAGAGCCAGGCGGGTCCCTGCTCCGGTGCGGAAGCCCTTGGGCTCCTCCTCGGAGCGCCCAGGCCGGCAGCAGGGGCTGCGCTGCGCTCGCAGGTGCTGCCCTGCATCCGCAGCTCCGCTGCCCGCCGCGGTGCTCCCAGCGGCCAGGCGGCCGGGCAAGGGGAGCGGCAAGCTCCCCACGCAGGGCCGCGGCCAGCGCCTGCCCTGCTCGGCGCTAGGTGCTCCCTGTGAGCTGAGGCAGCCCAGTTCCAAGCCTATAAACAGGCAGCCCAACGGCAGCTCTGGCCACAGCTACAGCAGCCCCCTTGGCCAGCGAGGACCAGGAACGCTAGCGGGAATTCTCCCCTTTGCACTTTTGGGAAGGCTCTCTGCAGCGCTGCCTCTACGGGGCAGAGCAGGGCAGCAATRCTGAAGTGGGGGCACCTCCAGGGCAGCCTTCCTTGGGCAGCTACCACAGCCACTTAAGCAGAAAGTGGGAAGTTAACCGAAGGCAGGGTACGTAGCGCAGCGCTAACCTGCCARAGCCTCTGCCATTAGCTGCTTAACGACCATCTGAGGGAGATGCAGAAAGTTTCCCAAAGAGCTTGACAGTTGTGGTCTGCTAAGATGATTTTATTTCAGACCTCTAGGGAACAATCAAATCAGGAGCTATAGCAGTGTTCTGAGTGGAAGGAAGTTTCCCAAAGCCCAAAGGAGATGGGACTGCTCCCTGGAGCACAGGAAAGAAGCGGCACTATTTTCAAGGTCAAATTAAGCAGGGCAAAAATTGCTCTGCAGAGGCTGCCTGAAGAGCGTTCAGAGCACTGTTCTGAGTAGCTAAATATTTGCATGTGGCCCTCCTGCTAACATTATTTGTCCTTCGCCTTTGATGACTGGTGGCACGTTGCAACATAAGGGGTGGAGAGCAAGGTAACTCACTAGGTGGACAGGGGTTTTGCTGGCCCATCTGGTGGAAGGAGAACACGAGGCAGTRAGAGAGGAGTTAAGCGTAGTGCTGCCGAGAGCAGCCAGGCGACCCCGGAGTGCTCAAAGTCCTGCCCTCTGGTAGCACCCAGCGCGTGGAGGGCTTGCACCGCGTGCGGTGTCGCGCACGGCCTCCGAGATCTTCCCAGGTGAGCCTCACAGCTCCAAGCAAAGGAAGCTTTAGAACGGGAAAAGGGAACGCGTGGCCAGGTAGGATGCGCACAGGCCTCCTCGCCAAGTGTCAGAAAGACTTCTCTGATGCGCACGGTCAGGAAGACTGAACGCCGGCAGGACAGGCCGCGCGCTGCGTGGCGCGCTGCAGCAGCCTGCGCGCGGCGGGCGAGCAGCGAGCGCACAGGGTGCTGCCAGCGGGGCAGAGCCTCTGCGCTACGCAGGAAGCACGGGGGGCCCTGCCGCACGCACGTGTCCCTTCTAAGGCCGGACGGGAGGGGAACTCTCCCCGGCACCAGCGGGGACCTTCTCCTAAGCTCAAGCAGACAACAGGAACACCCTGCCCAGGCCACCACCGCGCGCAGCCCACTGCTCACAAGGAAACACCAGAAGGAGAAGAGGTGCCAAGGCCCAGGCCCACCAGCTCCAGCTGCCTGCCGAGCACCCCTCTCCCAGCCCTCCTCTCTGATGCAGTCCTTGAGCAGAGGCTACCCAACCCGAGGAGCTGCTCCTGAGAGCTGGGGTAAAGGCAGACAACCTACGAAGTCTGGGGTAGGGAACAGGAACGCGCTCCGGTCGAGGCCACGGCACATAGTGCACCAGCTGGTTAGCAGGAAAGCAGCTCCCCAGGAGCTGCCAGGAGCACGTTAGCAGGGCGGTTAGTGCTTGCGGASGCAGCAGCGCGGGCTCCCCAGTGCCCCTCGGGAGGAGGCGACGGGGACGAGCGTCCAGCCCCACAGCAACAGCCCTTCCCTCAGCAGAGCAGCTCACCCTACAGCCTACCGCTCACATGGCAGCCCTACAAGCCTACAGCCACCCACGTTCCCCGCAAGCTCACTTGGTTTACGGCATCAGAGTTGGATGTTTACTGCATGTCTTGATACAGAAGCTGCATTTACCACCAAGGCCACAGATGAGATGTGCCTACCTGCATCACTCAGCAGCCAGGGGCGAATCTCTTAGCACTCATTTTGCAGGTTAGTTTGGATTGCATGCTGGTGCACACTAAGCAAAGGAAATCAGCAGTGTCAGAGTTTCTGGACAGCCCAGTGCCCCGCTGCCTTACAGTAGTTCAGGGCAAGTGCAGCTTCACGAGTCAGTGTCAGAGGAGGAACTGCCTACAGGAATCTGCAGCCACAACTCCAGAAGAACTGCGGAGCCTTCCCTGCACTCAGCACTGTCGCCTCCTGCTTTAATTCAACCGTGCATCACCACAGGGTGAGCGCCTCTGTGAGGGCAGTAAGGGCAMAACGCGAACAGGCTGGGGTTACCTCTGCACAGCTTCCTGGTCTGGCTCCCCGTCGGAGCTCTCCTCGTCCACAGGAGTGACCGCAGGGACAGCCTGGAGAGAGAAGCGAAGCCGTGGGCTCCCGAGCGCCATCCCACCGTGCCACGCTGCCCTGCCCTCCTCCCACAGGCTTCCGCAGGGATACGCGCCGGCTCCTCGGCAGCACTAACGCCGCTCGCCCAAGAAACCCTTCCAACCTTTCTTTGCCTCCTRCACAAGATTGTCTCCTCTTTGCGCAGCACCGGGAAACTTCTTTGACACACAAACATCAAGGATTAAACCATCTGCACTAAAGCCCGAGGCAGATGCTGCCGTTTTCTCCGTGCTGGGCACAGAGAGCAGGAAAGCAACGGCGAGCGCGAGGTGCCGAGCGGCTCGTCAAGGCAGGGCGCCCCCCGCGCGCCCCCGGCCAGGAGAGCACGAGCACTCGGCCGCTAGCGGACGGAGCGAGCGCGCGGCCGGCGGAGGCAGCGTGCCCCGTGGGCCCTGCCGCGCGCTGCCCCCGGAGCGGGCGCTGCAGAGCACCCCCGCGACGGCCCCTGCTCCCGCTGCGTACCGGCGTCATCGTCACGAGCGGAGAGGGGCCCCGGGGCCGCTTCAGCAGCTGCTGCGCGTGCAGCTGGATGTTGGCGCCGCCGTCCGATGCCCGGCGTCCCAGAGGGCCCATGCCATTCAGCAGCTGCAGCGTGGGGGGCTGCAGCAGGGACTGCTCCTGTGGGGCACACACGGGGCACTCACCAACGTGGCACAGGCTCCTCTCCCAACCCGGGCCACAGCCGGGGCGTGAGCGGGCACGCGGCAGCCAGAGCGGGCGCCAGAGCCCGCGCAACACCCCGCTGCGGCCCCGAGCGYGCAGGGTGCCGCGGGCAGCGCCCGTCCCTCCCTACCTTGTACTCCAGCTGCCCCGTGGGCTGCAGGTTCTGCCGTGGCAGCACGCTGTGCATGAAGTTGACGTTGGGGGTCACCTGCAGGAAGGGCGCCTGGGGCGCGACGCGCGGGAAGCCCGGCAGCAGCTTCTGCAGATCCTCCATGACTTCCGTCCTGCGCAAGCACACGCGGACAGGCGACTTAGCAAGGAAGAGCCACGGGCTCAGCGCACTCAACTGCCCCTCACAAAAAGGCTTCTTGCTGCTCCAGCAAAGAGTGGCAGAGAGAAGCCAGGCCGCTCTTCAGTCCTCATTTGCCCCTCTTTTTCCCCAAAAGCTAAGAGCCCAGTACTAACCGCGGGTCAGCTACTCCAACTGTGTGCCTTCTCATGGAGAGGTAGCGGACAAGAGCTTCGGGCGAGGGCTCTTCCCCTTCGTCACTGTCCAAGTTCATCGTTCCATCAGTCTGGGCGGGAAAAGGATTGCAAAAGTTCAAATACAGCACACGGATCCAAAAGGCTTCCCTGCAAGGCCAGGGAAAGCACTTGCAAGGCTCTGAAGGGAAGTGCCTCACCTCCACTATTTGATTTTCCGGGTTGATGAGCTGCACTTGGGGCACATTGATGTTCAAGGGGTTGCCTGCCTGTTCTGGCTGCTGAGCAGAGGGATCAAGGGACAAAGTTAGTGCACCTCACAGGCCCTTCCCCAAAGGCAGCTGGATTAGGCCTGGCACACAAGCAGAGCCCACTTGGGAACAGGGAAGGAACCCTGGAGCCAGTCAGGACGTCTCTAAACTCTTAACTCTCAAAGTGCCTTCGATGCTCAAGATCCTCTGAGAATGAGGAATAGAGATATCTCCCCCCAGCTCAGGTGACTTCAGCCTCTCTCCTGCCAGGCACCGGCTGCCTCGGCAGGGCTGGGAGAACATTACAGCGCCGGGCCCTACCTGCATGTTGGCTGAGGTGGGGAAGGCCAGTGTCCGCGGCATGCTCGGGGACGCTGCAATGCGCAGGTTCTTGTGCCTCTTGAGACGGTCGCAGAGCAAGCTGTATATTGCACTGTAGTGATCGTAAGCGTCGGCTCGTAAGGACTGCAAGGGAAGAGGGGAACGTGTGCCTCGGATCCCTGTGCCAAGGCACAAGGAAGCTGCACGGCCTGCCGAGGCCGCTCCGCSCGCAGCGGGGAGAAGGACAGACAGGGACACGCGGCCAGGGCCTGAAGGGGCCCGCAGAGGAGCCRCGGCCGCGGCGTTACCTGCACCGTGCGCTCCTTGTCCAGCCCCATATCGGCCATGGCCAGCAGCACATCCTGGTTCAGTGGCTCCATCTGCCTCTCAGTCTTCAGGTGCTGGCACTCGGCTATGAGCTGCAGCAACGCAGATGGRCAGACAGAGCGTCAGCGCTCGCGCTGCCAGCGCAGAGCTCCTGGAGAGACCGAGCGCAGGCGCGGGCTGGCGGCAGCGGCGGGACCGGGGGCACAGGCCTCGTCCGGGGCACCCTGCGCCGCCCTCGCTGCGTCGGGGAGGGGCCACAGAAACGGAGCGCAGCACAGGGCGGGCAGCTCCSCGCGCCAGGAGCCCTCCAAGGGCCCCAGGGAAGCCACGGGCTATGTGCGCGCCGTCCCCCTCGCACGCGAGCCCTTCCGCTGCTCACCCGCTCAAAGTCGGCGTCAGGCTCGCCGAGCTTCATCCACTTGTGTTTGCAGATCTGCTCCATGGAGAGCCGCTTGCTAGGGTCCAGGACCAGCATGTGACGGATCAAGTGCTCACATTCTGTACAGGAACGCAAACACAGCGAGTCGGCCACAGCGAGGGACGAGCCTTCCGCAAAAGGCAGCTTGCTGCTGCAGACGCAAAAGCTCTTTTGCTCTTTCAGAGCAACCATCAACCTGAGATGRAACTAAGACAGCACATCTGCAAAAAAGCCTTCCACTTTCAGTTAGCCTGCTCTCGAGGAAGAGGAGGGCAGGCTGTGCGCGGCCCTCGGCTCGCCGCGCAGCACCGGTGCGCGCTGCAAGGCTCCGGAGCTGCCCAGCGAGCAGCCACCTGCGCCCTCAGGGGCCGCCGGCCGGGAGCAGCGCGCAGCAGGCCCTTCCCGCCGGGCACGCGGCAGCTCTCCCGCGGCGCTGCGTGGTGCCGGGAGGCACCGCTCCGCGCCTCGGCACGTGCCTCCTGCCGGAGCGGCAGCCCCTCGGCCTCCTCCGCCTGTGACAGCGGAGCAGTGCCGGCACACTGCCGCCAGGCCCCCCGCAGCAGGCACGGGGAAAGGCTCTGCACGCCCAAATCACTGCTCCGTGTCTGCTTCCCCACATGTAGGGCAYGTGCATCTTTGCGGCAATGCTGCCACATTGATACAGCTGGGCATACAAAAGGAGGGACTTTAAAGAAGCACGCTTGGGCTTCTGGAGGGCAGATGCACGTGAGTGTCGCTCATGGTGCACACCACCACCAGCAGAAGCAACCCCAGTGCCTGCTGGCACGTTGCTGACGTGGCGTCGGACTCGCGGGCCGTACCAGGGGAGTCCCGGGAGGCAGAGGAGGGGGAGGCGAGGGGCAAGCGGCACCCACCTGTGGACATGAAGAAGGGAATGCGGAACTTGCCGCTGAGCACCCGCGCGCGCAGGTTCTGCAGCGTGCTCCCGTCGAAGGGCAGGGCGCCGCACACCAGCACGTAGAGCACCACGCCGAGGCTCTGCGGGCACAGAGAGGCCGCCTCAGCGCGCACCTCAGATGGTGGTGCCGCCGGTGGCGCCGGGAGGCACCGCGCCGAGCTGCCGCGCCCAGCGCCCTCCCGCTCCTCCTTCAAAGTGCAGCTCCCTCCCMGGCCGCTTTCGAGCCTCTAACGCAAGAAGAGTTTGGCGCGTCCAGCTCGAGGACGTCAAGCTGCACACCAGTGGGTAATGCCCCATTCCACAGCAACACTGAAGTGAACGCTGTTTTTGGAGACACCGAGCTAAAATGCATTTCGTGGCTGCTCGAGCTTTAGGCAGGRCACCGCGCAGCGAGGGAAGGGTGGATGCAGTAGCCAGCACTAAGAAGGCTACGCAGTTCTTGGAGAAACCTCTTCCCTGCCTATGAGGGACTTTTCTCCGAGACAGGTAGAGTTCCTTAGGGAGCAAAGCCAAAGAGMGGCGGCGTAACAAAGCTGCACATGAAAGGCCAGAAAACGAGGTTCGCCACCTACCCAAATGTCAACCTTGGGACCGTCGTACTCCTTGCCCTCAAAGAGCTCGGGGGCCGCGTAGGGAGGGCTCCCACACCACGTTTTCAGCAGCTGCCCGGGCGTGAAGATGTTACTGAAGCCAAAATCTGCCGGCAGAGAGAGACGAAGAGAACTGCTCAGAGGAACGAATGACGAAGTCGAAGCGGCCGCGCCTGCTACGGTCGCGCACAGCCCCGTAACGCGWAACTGTAACTCACACAGCAGCACAACAGAGCCCGGAGGGCACGAGCAGGGCAAGGGCAGAGCTGCAGCCACGCAGCAAGGCTGCAGCTTTGCTCTCGCTGGCGAGGCAGAGCCCAGTGAGGGCTGCGACCCGCGGCGCAGGCGCCTCGCGTGCAGCTCAGCGAGGCGGCGGGCACAGACTCCATCCCGCCCAGCTGCCCGCCCGCAGCCCGGAGCCTGCCAAGGGTGCGCTGTGCTCCGCCGCCGCTGCTCTGCCGTGCCAKGCCGCTGCACGGGCGCCGCGGCCCCGAGGGCGGCTCCCGCAGCGCCACGGGGCCGGACGCGGCGGCACTGCCGAGAGCCGCGCTGGATTTCGGGCAGCAAGCGGCTTGTGACCGCGAAGCGGCTGCCGCACGCAGCCCCCCTCGCACCCCGCCGTCACTCAGGCTTCTCCCGTGCACAGGGAGCCGGAACCGCCCGGGTGGCTTGTACGCAAAGCGTTGCTCGCGGACACAACGAGCTTCCCAAGGGGCACCCGCGTCTCACCTGGCCTGGGGTGTTGTGCGCTGAGAAGAGCAGCCTTCAGGAGCCAAATGGGAAGAGAGATGAGGGCCAGTTCTGAGCAGGCCCGAGTTCAAGAGAGAAGCGCACCCCAAGGCAAGGGGTTATTTAAGTAATGAAGCAGTCTTGCCACCAGGGAGGGTCCCCACTCGCCAAGGAAAGGCTGCTAAAGCCGAAGTGCGTGGCGCTCGCTCCACAAGCAGGCGCGAGGCAGGAAGGGGCATTTTAGGGAGCCCGCTACTGCTCACAGGACTTGGCACGGCCACGGCACCGGGCAGAGGCCTCTCAAGGCGCAGGAGCGCTGAGCGCCGGCCCAGCCAGGCACCCGCCAGGCCGAGGAGAGTGCCGAGCCGCCCAGAGCGGAGCGCTCAGGTCCCAGGGCCCACGGGTGGAGCAGCCATCTCTCCTGGTGGCTGCAGGGGCAGAGCGGGCGCGCGGGGGATGCGGCTCCGGCAGCTCCGGCCTCGCTGCGCGAGGCTCCCGGCTCRCGGGACCCGCTGCGCGCCGTGACGGGGAGGCGCGAGGCGCCCGCGCGGGCTGGCGGCCCCGCTGCGAGCGGCGGGCAGTGGCTCCGTGCCACGCCGTGCGCCACAGGGTGCTCGTGCAGCACAGCCCGCCGCGGGGYGGCTCCCCGTGCCCGCCGCTTGGGCGCCCGCAGCGACGGCAGAGCCGCCGTCAACTCGTACCGGACGAGTCGGAGGGACAGAACTCGACGCTTGGAAAAGCCTATAGTGCAAATCAGCTTTTCCAGGCCCCATTTCAAATTGCTGCTATAATTCCTGCCAAGGAAAACACTACCCGCGCATGGGTGGGAACTATCTTCCAGAGTCCATTCCGGGAGCAGAGCTTTGCAAGGAAAATAACGTCCCACTTCCTTGGGTTGGAAAGAAAAGAGTTTCCAGCATTTTCGAGCGTTCCCGTAAGTGTCAGCACACTCGCGAGGACATCCCTGAGGAACGCAGGTGCGCCGCAGCTCCCACCTATGCCCRCTATTTTGCCACACAGCTCAGGGTCTCTTGCCCGTTAGTCCCGGGGGGCATGAGGCTGCTCGCACAGCCGCTGGCACGCGAGGGCCGTCGCAAGGCGCTGCTGCTGCTGCGGTGGCGGCGGCAGGGCCCTGTCCTGCACCCCCAGCGGCCCTCGCTGCCCCAGCGTGCACATTGCAGCCACGCTGCCGGCCGGCCGCCCCTCCCTGCACAAAGCCTGCCCCTCGCCCCTTCTTCCTCCCTCGCTAACTGCAGCAGGACTCCAGGCAAGGGCAACTGCTGATACCGGCCCTGGCCCTTCTCTGGCGCGCTGCCAACCTGCAGCCTTGACACCGCCAGCTCTACCGGCAAAGCACAGGCTGCTTCTCCTTCTTCTCTTTTGCACCACTGGGAGGGAGACGTAAATCAAGCTCCCTCCAGCCTGCCAGTGGCGGCTCTGGGCAGCAGGCCACGCCGAAAGCCAAAGCTTCCTCTAGCTGCTCCGCGTTTCCTTCTCTCTGAATAGCTGGAAGCAGCCCATGCCTCCATCTATCAAGTTGTGAAGGCAGCTGCCTTCCTCCCGCTCCGCTACTCTGAGCTCACCTGCTATTTTGATGTTAAGGTTAGCATCGAGGAGGAGATTTTCTGCCTTCAGATCCCTGTGGACGATGTTCCGGCAGTGGCAGAAGTTGACAGCAGCCACTATCTGCTTGAACTTTCGGCGAGCTTCCTTCTCGGCCATGCGCCCGTGGGCCACCAGGTGGTCTGCGGAGAGGAGCAGAGGGAAGAGCAGAGGCTCGCGGCTGCCCCGGGGATGCGGCCGCTCGCCCGCTGCGCCCGGCGCTGCGGAGCCCCAGGGCGCCCAGCGGCTCCTGGCTGCCCGGCGCCGGGAGCTGCGTGCACGCGGCTGGTGGCGGGAGCTGTCGCGGGGCACCCCAACACACGCGGCAGAGCACAGAGCTCTGCAAGGCCCGCGGGCGAGACGCAGCCTGGCCGCTGCAGCGGCAGCGAGGCGCCCCAGTGGAGCCGGCAGCTGCACAAACACTCCCAGTGCCGCAACGACGGCGGGCAAACCAGCACACGCGGGCAGGAACTCCGGGCACTCGCACTCCCTCTCTCCCCCTTTGCTCCTGCCTTGGTGCAGGAACCTCTGTGCAGGAGCGCGTTATTCTCTCCCTGTCTCCGCGAGGCACTTGTGGAAACCAGAGCCACCTCTGCTAGAGAAGCGTGAGGGCCCCAGAGCGCTTTGCTCAGAATCTCTGCTGTCACCCAAAGGGAGCGGCTGGCGGCRGCCAGGCCTCCCTCGAAAGCCGTCCTCTCAAGCACGGACACAACAAGCRTCCTCCTGCTTAGCAGGCCACAAAGGAACGCGTGAAACAGCAGTAAGCCCTTTACAAACGGAAATCTCRGAAATCTTGGAAATATTCGTAAAAATAAGGGCTCTTAACAGGAGAAAGCCGYGGGCTGTGGTGAAGAGAGCGCGCTGCAGCCTGCTGGGCGGGCCGCGCGCGCGGCGGCACCGTTCAGGCGGGCAGCCTGGCAGGGCCGGGGCTCCGCGGGGGCCGCTCGCTGCGCGGTGCAGCGCGTCGCGGTGCCGGCCGGGGCTGCAGGCACGCAGGGCACGGTGAGCAGGGCGCCCGTCCCGCCGGCATGCAGCGGCGCATGCAGCAGCGCAGCGGCCCGGCTGCACGTCCCGCCGCAAGCAGAGCCCGGCGCCCTGCGGCACTTGAGAGACGCGCCCGGGGCTGCAGGGCTGCAGGCTGAGCTGCTCTCCAGAGCGAGGAGGGCAAATCACTTCTGAAGGCTCCCCAGCAGGAGGCTGTATTTCTCCCAGCCACCCATTAATTAAAATACCTGTGACACAATGGATTTGCAGTAAACACTAATTACCTCGATACATCAAAGCAGTGCTGCCAGCCTCTGACTGAGCAGCCCGCTCCCCCTGCCCAGGCCGGACCGCAAGCGCTGTGCCAGACGAGGCTCCCTCTCCCACACCTGCCAGTGGAGCCTCATGCCCAGAAAACGTCCCGCACGCGCCCAGGGCAGCCGGGGCCGGGCAGGGGAGCCCATGGGCGAAGCCCGTGTGGCTGCTCCTGCACCCGCCGGGACAAGGTGCCCGCCTGGGCGCAGCAGGGCCSGGGGATCCTCACCGCCCTGCGACAGGGAAGGCGGCGCGCGGCACCAAGCGGGCGGCTGCAGCCTGGCCGGAGCGGCGGGCGGGCTACGCGCAGAGCTCGCAGCAAGGAGCTGAAATGCAAGCAGCTCGTTAGTGCTACGTGACATGCAAGTGTCAACGCTGCACACCTGCAGCAAGGAGCACCCTGTGTTTCAAAGGCGACGCCTGCTTGGTCCCCACGTCAAGCCACGAGCGCAGCACAGGCCAGGCACGCGGAGGCACAGAAGCGCCGGTCGACATCTCCCTGCTGCAGGGCAGCAGTGTGGCCAGCGGCGAGGCTGGTCCCCGCTGCCAGGCACAGCCAGCTCCACGGGAAGCTGCTTCCCCTGGCAGCAGCCGGCTCCAAGAGCCCGAGCACGCCGTGCAACGCAGCCACGGGCGCCCGACACCGCGTGCCCATCTCCAAGCCTCCGTCGCTCGCAGAGCTCTCGGTCCTTCAGCTCAAATTGCCACCCTAGCTGCGCCCTCCGCAGCACATGAATTGCGGACGTCACAGCCGGGAACGCTTTTGTGCGGAGCTTCAGGGAAAACAGCCGGGATTCCCTTGCAAGGGAGCCTTCGGCACGGAAAGGCAGCGCGGGCTTGCCGGTCCCACGGGGCACACTTGGGTCGTGCATCGTGCCAGGGCCGTGCAGGCCTTTGCTCCCCGCACACGTCCTGTCCCAAGGCTTGTGCTCCGCCTTGGGAGGCCGGCGGCAGGGCCCAGTGCTCCCGTGCCCACCGAGGAGGCCGCTCTCCTACCACCACGTACCGTGTCACCGCGTGCCACGTAACCGCACGCCGGCCGCCCCGCCGAGCCGAGCCGAGCCGGGCCAGCCCGCACAGAGCGCTGCGGCCGGCAGCCAGGGCCTCCTCTCCACCCCGTAGCAGGCTGCTTCTGTGAGCAAGCGAGCCCTTCCCAGCTCTGCGTGAGAGCTCGCACAGAGCTCTGCGTTTAAGAGAGGAGACGCAGCCTGTGCCAAGTGCCACCGAAGAGACAAAAAGGGAGGCGTGATTCAGGCTTCCTGCAGCTATGCCCACCCAGGCCAGGCCTCAGCCCCGCGCCAGCAGCTCCGCACACACACTCAGCTGCCTTCGCTGCAGTTACCACGTGCTCCACGAGCCGAGAGGAATTTCACGAGTCTGCAGGGTTGCCAGGCATCCAGCACTGCCATTACCTTTGCAGAGMGCAACTGAACACCTCGGCTGGATGAACCACATTTGTCGCCACTTTGCAAACCCCGCTGCCTCCTGCTTCCTCCAGCTGCAGCTTTCTCAGGGCAGGAGCAGGAGCAGGAGCAGGAGGGGAGCAGAAGCTGCAGGGACGGTGCGGAGGAAGCAGCGGAGCRCAGAGCCAGGAACACGGCGCAAAGGGAAAGTGCAGCGAGCGACAGTGCCAGCAAGGGGAGACCCAGTGCCGTTCAGCGGCACCTGCCTCTCTCTAGCCGCCTTGCCCTCAATCTGGGGCTCCAGGAGCTTCCACGTCTATCAGAGGGCAGCCGCTCTCCCTGCAGGCTCCCAGGCCCTGCACGCTGCCATGCCGTACGGGCACGGAGAGGAGAGCGCTTGGCTCCGGGTCCCCGAGGGGCGCTGTGCCTCTGCGCCCGCAGCCTGACGGGCTGAAGGGCAYCCCTGCGGACACGGGAGGGCGGGCCAGCTATTTGCTGCTAACCGTGCCAGCCCAGGTACATTATCTGATTAAGGAATGCCGTAAGTGTACTTACCAAATATTTCCCCTCCGCTGGCGTACTCTGTCACGAGATAAATCATCCTCTCCGTCTCCATAACCTGGACACAAGGACGGAAAAGGGACAGCTAAGGGGACTTGGTGTGGCGAGTTGGTGTGGTGCGGGGCCGTGTGGGGCAAGGCGCAGCGCTCTGCGGTGGGCCCGGCGGGCGGAGGGCACCGTGGGCACCGTGCCTCGCGCCGCGAAGGGGCCCGGCGCCGCCTCTC